TTTCCCGAGAGTTTTCCGGATTTTGGATCGAAATCAACGTCAATCAATTCCAACGTTTTCGGATCGATTTTACCGACGAGTTTTCCGGTTTTCACGTCGAACTGTCCTGGATGTAACGTAAGTGTACCTGGATCGATAACGGCATCTATGCTCTTTCCTAACTTCTTGTCAACCGGATGTAATAGTTTACCGGATTTCAAGTCGAATTTGGGAGCGTTGATTTTACCAGTCGGTAAATCAACTTGACCCTCCAGTAAGCATGCGCTCTTAGGATCGATTTGTAATTCTATTGCTTTCATATCTGGTCTGTCGAATTTAGGTAGATCACCGAAACTGATATCCGGTAACGTAATGTCGAATTTGGGCATTTCAACGTCGAATCCCTTTCCTAATTTACCGAAGAATCCCCGAACTTTCTTTCCGATGAAGTTTCCGGTTTTCGGGTCGTAGTCGATTTCAATCAAATCGAGAGATTTGGGATCAATTTTACCGACTATTTTACCGGTGTCGACGTCGAATTGTCCCGGATGTAAAGTCATGGTACCCGGGTCAATGGCCGCGTGTATTGTTTTTCCTAATTTCTTTTCGACTGGATTAATAAGTTTTCCGGTTTTCAAGTCAAATTTGGGAACGTTGATTTTTCCGGTGTGAAGATCTACTTGACCGTCCAATAGTCGTCCTGTCTTCGGGTCGATTTGTAATTCAACGGCTTTAAGATCCGGTCTTTCAAATGTTGGAAGTTGTATTGGGAAAAACTCAGTTGTGTCAGTTACTATTACGTCCGCTTCAGTATCTCTAACATGAAACACATTGCCAAGTTTATCTAGTATTCCTTTCTTTTTGAAACTGTGACTTGGTTTTAAATCGGGAATTTTTGGTGCGCCTAAACGAAGAGTTTTTGGATCCATATGTCCGATATATTTTCCATTTCTTAAATCAAACTGTCCTGGTATTAGTTTAAAAGTTTTTGGGTCAATTACTGCATTAACGTCGAAGCCCTTATCAATTGGAGACAATAATGTTCTGCTGTTTAAGTCATAGTTTTCAGTTATTATTCGTCCGTGCTTTAAGTCTACTTGTCCCGATAATAATCGGTGGGATTTATTATCAACTTTTAATGATATTGTATTTTGTGGAAATACAAATGATTTTTTTTCTGGTAAGTCAACATCTACATCCGGTAATTTTTCTTTCGCTGTCTGATCTAAGGATGTTTCAATTGTATTCAGTGGTATTACATTAATTTTTTTAAGAACAAAACTATTTTTCTCTGGCGAAAATTGAATTTCCTCTAGTTTAAAATTCATAGGATTAAATTTACCAATAACTTCACCCGATTTTAGATCAATTTGTCCCGGATGTAGGGTCATGGTACCCGGGTCAATGGCCGCGTGTATTGTTTTTCCTAATTTCTTATCAACGGGATTAAGAAGTTTTCCGGTTTTCAAGTCAAATTTGGGAACGTTGATTTTACCGGTGTGAAGATCCACCTGACCGTCCAATAGTCGTCCTGTCTTCGGATCGATTTGTAATTCAACGGCTTTAAGATCCGGTCTGTCGAATTTCGGTAGTTCACCCCACGATATTTCCGGTAAATGAACGTCGAATTTCGGCATTTCGAATTCTAAACTCTTGCCCCATTTTCCGAAGAAACCTTTTCCTTTCTTGCCCGAGAGTTTTCCGGATTTCGGATCGAAATCAACGTCAATCAATTCCAACGTTTTGGGATCGATTTTACCGACGAGTTTTCCGGTTTTCACGTCGAACTGTCCTGGATGTAGTGTTAAAGTACCTGGATCGATAACGGCATCAATGCTTTTACCTAACTTCTTGTCAACCGGATGTAATAGTTTACCGGATTTCAAGTCGAATTTGGGAGCGTTGATTTTACCAGTGGGTAAATCAACTTGACCCTCCAGTAAGCACGCGCTCTTAGGATCGATTTGTAATTCTATTGCTTTCATATCTGGTCTGTCGAATTTTGGTAGATCACCGAAACTGATATCCGGTAACGTAATGTCGAATTTGGGCATTTCAACGTCGAATCCCTTTCCTAATTTACCGAAGAATCCCCGAACTTTCTTTCCGATGAAGTTTCCGGTTTTAGGATCGTAATCGATTTCAATGAGGTCTAATGATTTGGGATCTATTTTACCGACTATTTTACCGGTGTCGACGTCGAATTGTCCCGGATGTAGTGTCATGGTACCCGGGTCAATGGCCGCGTGTACTGTTTTTCCTAATTTTTTATCAACAGGATTGATTAATTTACCGGTTTTGATGTCGAATTTGGGAACGTTGATTTTACCGGTGTGAAGATCGACTTGACCGTCCAATAAGCGTCCTGTCTTCGGGTCGATTTGTAATTCAACGGCTTTAAGATCCGGACTATCGAATGTGGGTAGATCTTTGAAGCTAAGATTTTGAATCGGCATTTCGATAATGTCATTTTTTATGTTTTTCAGTTTTGGCATATGTATATCTGGTGCACTAATTATTTCTCCACTTGATGTGTCCATTTTTCCTAATATATCTCCTTCAAAAAATAATCCCGTTTTTGGATCATAATTTATTTTCATCAATTTAAAATTATTGTGATCTACGATAGCATTTAGTTTTCCACTTTTACTATCAATTTGCCCTGGAACTAGGCAATTGTTTTTTAAATTCACTAATGCGTGAATCATTTTGCCTTCATTTTCTTTCACTGGATTTTTTAGCTTGCCAGTTGATAAGTCAAATTGTTTTTCGTAGATCTTACCTGTAACGTAATCTATTTGGTTATCCAATACTTTAGCAGTTTTTGGATCTATTTGTAGTTCGAATGGTTTAAAGTCTTGAGATTCAATTTTAGGTAGGTCTCCGAATACAAATTTCTTTTTATCAGATATATATGATTGTTCTTTGAGAGGCTCACCAAGCCGCCCGACAAAAGATTTAAATTTCTCTGATACTAGACTTTCACTTTTGGGATCAGTCATTTTTATTAAGTTTAATGAATAAGGATGAATTTTTCCAATAATTTTTCCGCTCACGGGATCCAATTGACCTGGTATTAATTTTAATGTTTTTGGATCAACCATTGCGTAAGTTGTCTTGTATTGTTTTCCCTCTAGAGGACGTATTAGTTTTCCCGATTTAACATCAAATTTATCCTCATTGATTCGTCCTGTTTCGTAATCTATAATACCATCCGTAACTTGTCCACTACTGGAATCTATTTGAATTTCTACTGGTTTCATAGTGTTAGATTCTATTTTCGGAAGATCATCAAACTCCATTTCAAATATTTTAGAATCGGGATACATTTCATTTGATGAACCAGGATAATTAAAACTGCCTTTAGTATTTATACTTATAAACTTTTCAATCTTCGGATCGTATTCGACTTCGACTAATTTCAGCGTTTTAGGGTCGACGTAGCCTTTTATTTTGCCACTTTTCAAGTCGAATTGCCCAGGTTTTAATTTTAAATCGTGAACGTCAATAAGAGCGTGTATTTTTTTTACTTCTTTTTCACCAATTGGTTTTTTTAATTTGCCCGTATTTAAATCATAGTTTTCTGGTATAATTCTACCAGTGTTACTGTCAATTTGATTGTCTAACAAGCAACCCGTTTTAGGGTCTATCTGTAATTCAATCATTTTCAGGTTGGGGTCACTGAGCCGAGGAATTTCTCCTTCAAAAGAAATATCAATATCTGGCATTTTAAATGAATAATCTTTTTCTCCAAAAGATGTCAATCGACCGAATAATCCCTTCTTTTTTCCAGTAACTTTTCCACTCCTGTTGTCAGGATCAATTTCGACAAGTTTAGAAGTCCTAGGATTGAATCTTGCAATAACTTTATTTCGATACTCATCAAGTTGACCGGGTTTTATTTCCAGTGTTTTTGGATCAACAATTGATTGAATTATTTTTATATTTTTACTGTGTTGAGGATTTTTTAATTTTCCTGTTTTTAAATCGAAATTACTTTCAATTATTTTCCCAGTATCTTTGTCTATTTGTCCATCCAATAAATGCATAGTTTTAGCATCAATTTGAAGTTCTATCACTTTCATATCGTTCCGATCGTAAGGTGATAAATCATCAAAATGCTCTCCTTCGAAAAATTCAATATCGTGATTTTTATCTCCGAAAGATCCAGTGAATTTATCGAAAAATCCTTTAATTTTTTTCCTTATAAAATTACCCGTACTTGGGTCGTAATCAATATCGATTAACTTTAAAGTTTTCGGATCGATTTTCCCTATGAGTTTTCCGTCTTTAGTATCGAATTGTCCCTCTTTCAATTTAAACGATTTGGTATCAATAATAGCATGAACTATTTTCCCATGCTTTTTATCCACCGGGTTTTTCAATTTTCCAGTTTTAACATCGATTTTCGATTGGTTAATTATTCCTGTTTTTAGATCCACCAAACCTTCTAATAACTTTCCCGATTTAGGATCTATTTGCAGTTCCACGGCTTTCATATTTTGATTTTCTATTCTCGGAAGAGTTCCAAATTTTATTTCACTCACATCCGGCCCTTCAATAATTACATCTTTTTCACCAAAAGATGTTAATCTGCCGAAGAATTTTTTCATTTTTTTATCTGAAATTTTGCCAGTTTTAAGATCAAAATCGACGTCAACTAACTTTAACGATTTTGGATCAATTCTCCCAATGATTTTCCCATCTTTTTTATCAAACTGACCAGGTTTCAGAGTAAAATCGTCTGGATCAATTACAGCGTATACAGTTTTGGCAAATTTTTTATCGACGGGATTTAATAATTTTCCAGAACTAAGATCAAATTTTTCTTTTTGTATTTTATTAGTTTTCAAATCTACTTGTCCATCTAGAAGACATCCGGTTTGAGGATCAATTTGAAGTTCAATGGCTTTCATGTCGTTCGAATTGAAATTGGGTAATTCCAATAAAGAAATATCACCTTCAGGTATTTCTAAATCACCCGCATCACTTTTCAAAGACCCGGTAAATTTGTCAAAAAAACCACGACTTTTTTTTCCAAATATCTTCCCTGTTTGAGGATCGTAGTCTATTTCGATTAATTTCAATGATTGAGGATCAATTTTACCTATTATTTTTCCTTCGGTACTAATTTGACCTGGTTTCAACGTCAAATCTGAAGGATTTATAACGACGTGAATTATTTTTCCGTGTTTTTTATCGACTGGATTTTTTAATTTACCAGTACCTAAGTCATAATTTTTTTCTATTATTTTTCCCGTACTTAAATCAATTTGATCGTTTAATATGTAACCAGTGTTGGGATCAAATTGAACTTGGACTGTTTTCATTTTATCAGTATTGATAAAATAGTCATCAAAGCTAAGTTCCTCTGAAACAGGGAATTTAATCTTAGGACTTTTTCCACGCAGCGAACCTCCGAAAAACAAAGATCGAGAATCATCTATTTTCTTATCCCTTTTAAAGAAAACTTCATTTTTTGGATCGTATTTAACAGGTGTAATTTTCATTGTGTTGGGATTCAACTTGCCAATCAATTCGCCATGTTTATCATCAAATTGATCGGGAAGTAACTGTTTTGAATTTTTGTCTATAAATGCATGAACTGTTTTAGCGCCTTCGATTGGAAATTTCAATTTTCCCGTATTTAAATCAATTTTGTTTTCGTTAACTTTTCCAGTTTTTAAATTCACCTGATCATCCAAAAGTAACCCTGTTGAAGAGTCAATTTGTAATTCGATAATTCCTAAATCATCTCTGTCAAACATTGGAAAATCATCAAAAGTAACTATTTCCATTTCTATATTATCGAGTTCTGTAAAAATTCCAGTTGTTTCATCGAAAAATCCAATAGTTTTCCCTCCAAAAAAATTTCCAGTTTTAGGATCATATTCAACCTTTCGCAAAATGAACGTACGAGGATTTATATAGCCAATTAAATTCCCCTTATTTTCATCAATTTGTCCTGGTAGTAATTTCTTATTCAAACTGTCCACAATAACGTGTACTTTTTTACCATGTTCCTTATCAACTGGATCTTTTAATTTCCCTAACTCAAAATCAATTTTATTTTCGTTAATACGACCAGTTTTTAAATCAACTTGACCGTCCAACAGTTTTCCAGATTTAGGGTCAATTTGAACCTCAACAACTTTAAATTTTTTTAATTCTAATATTGGAAGGTCTTCAAATTTAATTTCTTCCACTTCATACAAATCTTTGTCTCCTCCTTTTTCGACAAAAGCGCCAGTCAGCCGATCAACAAATCCCTTTACTTTATCACCCCAAAAATATCCGCTTTTTCCTTCAACATCAACCTGAAATAATTTAAATTAATTTTTTTTTTTTTTTTTTTTTTTTTTTTTGGAATTTTGTTTTCGTTTCAATAATATAAAAATTGCCATATTTAAATCAAGCCACACAAAACAAAATAATTATTATTTTTATTACAATCCATTTATGCTATGGTAATTCTTTTCTTTTTTTTTTTTTTTTTCATTTTAATAAACCATAACAGCAAGATTGACAATAAGTGTAATAATAACGACAGCAAAAAGTAAAAATATTTGAAATTACCAAACTGTAAGATTATTTGAAAAAATAACAAAAATAACCTTAATCTGAGAATAAATAAATCCTAATTAATAAAATTAAATTATCAATTAATGCTTTAAGGAAATAAATAAATATGATTTTTCGATTCTTTTCGTCGATTCTTAAAGAATAAATAAAATATTTACAGTTTCAAATTTGAAGAGAAAAATTTAATAATAATAATGTTTATTGTTTAAAAATATATGAAAAAAAAAAAAATACATTTAACAAGAATGTTTTAAATCTTTGTGATTTAAATTTTGCGGTTAAAATACTTATACAATCGATTATTTAACAAATAATAATAAATTATTCTGTATATAAAAACTGTTAATAATAATTAGTTTTAAAAAAAATCATATTAAATAAGTCGATATAATTTTTTTTTTTTTTTTTAATGCATTACAGGAGAAACAAAAAAAAAAAAAAAAATGTGAACCAAAATATTATCCTTAAGGACTATCGAAATGTTTTGTAATCATTTGGTTAATGAAAAAATTTCAAATCATAAATTTAATCAATTACAAACGAGTTCATTTTTTTTTTTAGAGTAACCAAATCCAGTAACAAAAAAATAAAACCCTTTTTTTAAAATTTTTGTCAATCAATAATCGCATTTAATCATTTTTATGTTTGGTTTATAAAATGAATTAAAAAAAAAAAAAAAAAGAACTACCCCCCCCAGCTTTTGAGTTAAATAAACAATAAAAAAAAAAAAAAAAAAAAAAACAAAATTATAATCCTGAGTTACATACAATTAAAACAAACCTAATATAAATATATTTTTTCAATTAACTTTTAATGCGTTAAAATCAATCACTTTAATATCAATATAAAAATTTTAAAATGTATAATGTAAAATAAATCATACTAGATTATATATCGTCGTTGAATTTACTTTATGTACTTAATTAAAATCATATTATAGAAAAAACAATAATTTAAAAGTATTTATGCATATACGAATTTTAAAAATCAAACTTATGCAAGTTGAATATAAATCAATGCTTTAAAAATTCTTAAATACTTTATAAATTAATTGGGATAATTAAATAGTTATTTGTTGTACTCAAAAATTTAATTTCTTAAAAATTTGATTTTTTTTTTTTTTGACTGATTTCGATAACCAATAATTAAATTTTAATTTTGTTTCATTAAATAAACAAAAAAAAAAAAAAAAAAAAAAAAAAATGTCAACTTACAGATTTTTTCGGCTTAACTCGTTCGGATGGAATTTCAATACTGTAGCCTGACCTGTCTAATTCCGATGGCAACTTTTCAGTACTGGAGTCAAAGGAATAATCCAATTTCCTCTAAAAAATGAAATAAAATAAATTTAATTAATACAATGTAACACAAATAATCATAAGGAATCAATCAATGGCAAATAAATTAAAATTTAAGTTATTTAAAAAAAAAATAAAATAAAAATAACCTTGAGCCACGGTAAATTTAAATTACATTAAAATAAAAATAAAAACATTTTCAATTTCGTTTATTGTCGTTTTGGTGTTTTATTTTTCCCTTCACAAACATTGTAACAACATCAAGTCGAGAATTAATAAATATTTACATATTTGTATCTTTATTTGGATATAATAAATGTGATAATGACGACAAAATACAAAATACAAAATAATAATAATAATAATAATATTAATAATTACTTGTTTGCTTCGTTTTTGATTTTCCTTTTCCTCATCATTGTTATCCATTTTATCTCTATTGTCGTGTTCAAACTCAGCCCCAGGTAAAACAGCAACACCACCAATCGGTTTCTAAACAAAAAAAAAATTTACCGCAAACCAATTAGTTAATAATAAAATAAATATACTTTTAAAAAAAATAAATATATTTTTTTTAAATTTCTTTTTAAAACACTGCCAAGCTTGCTACATTTAAAATAAATACTAAAAAATCAATTAAATTTTTACAGACACTCAAAATTGTTGAATGATGTTCATTTAAAAAAAAAAAAAAACAAAAAAAAAACAAAAAAAAGAAAAAGAAGGATTTATCATTTTATAAACAATTTTACTTAAATTTTTTTTATTTTCGTGCTTGTTTGAGAATTATAAAAAATCTATATAATTAATAAAAATAAAAAAAAAAAAATTACATAATCCCTAGCTCTTACGGTTAATTTATATATATATATATATATTTTTTGTTTAAATAAAAATTATTTAATGTTTTAAAATATAAAAGTCACTCGTAACTTTTTGTGGAGGGAAGGGGAGAGAGAGAAGGGGGAGTATTTTTCAAAAGCATGAAAATATTTTTTTTTTTTTTTTTATTCAGGCAAAATGTTCAAATCATGCAATTTAAGAAAATATCACCTCCAAAATATCCTTTTTATGCGTGATATATTCTCCTTCAGTGGATGTGTGGGAACTAAGCGAAGAAGCATCACCCTCTTGCTGCGTCCATTACATTAACACATAAATATCACACCCAAGACCGAATTAAGTTAAAAATTTTTTATTAAATAATTAATTATTAATTGATATTCGAATTTCTTCCTTGTTATTGTTTCTTATTTTTTTTTTTTAAATAAATTTCCTTTAACTAGCACAAAACAAAAAAAAAAAAAAAGCAAAAAACCATTTGTTATTGTTCATTTGAATATTCTATACCCCTGATATTCAAAAAAAAAAAAAAAAATTTATTAATTAATTACACAGAAAAACTTAAAAAATTTAAATCAAATCGATATTCAAATTATCTAAACAAGTTAAGATCAACAATTTGACAAAAAAAAAAAAACAAAAAATGATACAATGACTGACTTATTTATTAACTCAAAAAAAGTATAAAAATTATTACGTCAATCAATGAGATGTAATTTAATTTATAAATTAAAATTGTTCTATTTTTTATTTTAAATAAAATAAATACGGGAAAAGATGTATATGTATTTTCCAACAAGGATCCAACACGACAAACAAAAGCATAGAATAAAATTTACAATAACTAATTTCGTTTAAAAAAGTTAGTCTTTAGTTAGTTTTTTTTTTTTTTTTTTTTAAATGAAAAAATCTGAAATAGAAATCATCGTTATTTTCAAAAAACGTTCAGCCCAAAAACGACGACAATAATATTATTATTATTATTAATTATTAATACAAAAGCTTCAAGCAAATACTTAAGAGAGAGAAAATAAAAAAATAATAATAATATTTATTTTGGTTATCGATTGAAGCAAACCTGTATACTAATAATCATTCATTCATTCAACAATTTTTTTTAAAATTAAATAATGATAAAATTCGATATTTTATATTATCCTAATTATACTAAAATTCTTTAAAAAAATATTTTCTTTGATTTTCAAATTTTAAAAAAATTATTTCGATACATATTTTCCTTTTTTACAACCAAAAACAATTTTCGAGAGAGAGAGAAAAATTATTTTCAAATAAAGACAATTAATTACATTTGTATAAAATAAAAACTTTCACAACTCCTAAAAAAAAAAAAAGAAATCGTTACAAGAAGAATATACACGATGTAAATGTTTCCTCTTACGTGAAAATAATATTATTATTATTAAAAACTCAGTGGGTTAAGATAATTATGATGTAAAACGAAAAAAATCCCCATACAAAAAAAAAAAAAATTAATTATTTTTAACGAGGGTCCTACAAGAAAAAACAAAAAAAATTTACTTCATATTATTATAAATTGGACAAAAAATTTTTTTTTTTTTTTACTTAACAACAATTAAATATTTATTTTAATATATGAACAAAATAAAAAAAAATTTTTTTTTTTTACTGGCACGATCTTGAATAAAAATAACGAATAAATGGGGGTAATTGGGTGTACAAGTTGAAAATTGCAAGAAAAAATTTTACATTGAATTTTAAACGTGATTTATCATTAAACACATAATAAAAATATTTACAATACGATTCACATCGTCAAAAGCAAACATTTTTTGTTGTTGTTGTAAAAACATCAATAAAGAGCAAATACCAAAAATTACTAAATTTAATTAAAAAGTCAAATTTAAATTATTATTATTTGCGGGAAACGATAATTATTCGATTTCAATATTTAATTTATTAAGTGAATCCAAGTTATTTATAACAACAACAACAACAACACCATGTTTAAAAAAAATTAAACGTAATTCTCAATGACAACGATTGCCGTATGATCTCATCACCATAACACGGTAATAAATGAAAACAACATATTTCTTTTTTTTTTAAACTAATGAATGTTTGAGAACGAATAGCATCACAAAAAAAAACTCTAAATAATATCCTTTATATTAAATTATACGAATAAAAATAAAAGAAAAGAAAAATGTCCTAAAAATTGAAATAAAAATTGAAAAATATTATTTAAAAATAGGCGTTCAAGGTAATTAAGACGAAGTTGAAAATCAGCCTTGCCCACTTTTACGTCTGGAACACACTTGCAAAAAACAACCAAAATCAACAACGACTTATTCACCTTCAGTTTTTTTTTTTTTTTTTATATTTAAAAAGTATGGTTGTTGTTAAAAAAAAAAAAAAAAAAAAAACTTACCTTGAGCAATGGTTTTGGATTTTTTTTTTTTTTTTTTTATTATTTTTTTGTCAAAAGATTTTTATTTATTTATTTATTTAAATAAATTTTCTAAGGGGTTTAAACTACGTTTAATTGAATATACAATTAACAAGGTCATAAAAATAGAACCCGAAACATCCGCGCGGAGAGAAAAAAAAAGAAAATTTTTTTTTTTTATTAACGAATATTTCAATCGGAATGCACATATTATTATTTTTCACTCATTTCGAAAATATATATATATATATATAATTTTTTCAAAACGCACAAATTTTTTTCTTTTGTTTTAAAATTAAATATAATTATTACATGGAAATTCACTTAAATTATATAGCACGTCTAGCACAATCGAAAACACAAATTTTTTTTTTTTTTTAAAAACTTTTTGTAACAAAAACCCCTATGTTTATTCTAAATTTAAAAAAAGACGTAATAAATTGATTTTTTTTTTGTGAATAAAAAAAAAAAAAAAAAAAAAAAAAAAACTTCAAGTTATAAAACTAAATAATATACAAAACTAGCCCACCCAAACAATAAAATAATTCCGGCGCGAACACCCCCGTTCTCAAATCATTCTCTAAACTAAGAAATGACTCAAAAGTAACATCCAGTTCTTTTTTTTTTTTTTTTTTTAATGAGATGTAGTCTAAAAATATCAAACGCAATTTAATTACTAAATCCGCAGGTAACTCCACTCCCACGAACAGAAATAAGAACCAATTACAAGCACTGTTTTCACATTATTATCGACCTTGACATCCACTCTTGTGAATATCAACCAGAATTCGCCATTGGTAATTGTACGAACAACAACAACAAAAAAAAAAAAAAAAAAAAAAACCAACTTCAAAAAACAAGTAATAACTCAACCGCGACGCTACTACCACTTCGACACAAAGAGACTAGACACGACGTGGCTAGCTTCGAGTTACGAATGCAACTGAATTAAGAACAAATTTCTCAACGGAATAAGTTTACACCTAACTCCTTTTTTTTTTTTCCTACAATACTTTTAATTTTCAAATAACAATTTGTGTACTACGACGACGACGACGACGACCACCATCACCACCACCACCACCACCACCACCACCATCACCACCATCACCACTTATTCATAGCGCCTAAAAACAAAACTTTTTTAACCTAGGAATGACCGTTGCGGGTCAACATCGCATTGATTCTCTCGTAAAAACAATATTTATTCCAAACACCAAGACTGGAATTTCCGGTGGAATAATCGAATGGGTTAGTTTTAGCTTCGGCACGGTATATGGTTTTTTACTTTCATTACATTCATTTTTTGTTTTTGTAAAAAATAATTTCGAATAAAAAATTCTATTTTGTGCACATGCTTCCATGTGTGTATGTGTGTGTGTGTGTGTGTGTGTGTGTTTGTTTATTAAAAAAAAATAATTTTTCCCGAAAAAATAATTAATTTAAGAACAAAGAAAAAATTCTTTTTTTTTTTTTTTGAAAGGAATTCGAATAAATTTTAAAGGTACTTTACCTTCCAATTTTTTCTGGTTTTCTTGTCCGAGCCTGAACCAGAAACTGGAGGATGTGACATCGTGTGACGTTTACTGGGTTCGTCGTTTTGTAAGTCGTATGCGTCGTTTTTACTATAACCTAGAGCTAAAACAAAATTTTTGGATCGAATAAGAAGCAACAAAAACATAGACCTTTGACTTTTTAAACAATAAAAAAAGAAAAAAAGAAACTTACTATCCATTGACCTTGAGCTAAGTCTACGGCCACTTAAGGTTCTTTCAAAATCTGGAGCCGGTCTATCGATTTGGGCCTTTTTAGTTTCGTAGTGCGTTCGCCCGGAATATCTATATTTTGATCCAAAAGTAGGAAACTTTGACCTACTTTGAATAGGCTCAGGAGTCATCAATCTAACAGCAACAGCAGAAAAATTTTTTAAATGTATTTTAAATAAATTGGAGATTTAAATAATAATAATTTTTCGAATCAGGAAAATTTTACCTAAAAAAAGTGTGATGCTCAACGCATGTTTTCCAAAATCTTTTGGCTGCCCTGTAATTGGCTAGTTTAAAGCCCACCGTAGATTCGACCCTTTCAAATTCTCCAGGTCTGATTTTAATGTAAAAATTGTGTCGCTTATAAGATATTTTTAATATTTTCGGCCATGCGAAACGATTAATTCTTAGCCTATAAAAATTTCAAACAAACAGACTCATTTTAAAACACCTCATTAACAACAGTTTAAAAAAAAAATTTAAAGTATGTATGAAGACTTTAAGTACTAAAAATAAATTTTAACTTAGTCACTACACCGTGCCAATTAAAGAAAAATATTTTTTTTATGCCTAAAATGTCGTATTGTTGAAATCAATTAAGAAATATATACTAAAAGGAACTATTCAATTTTAACAATTTTTTAACATACAAAAAAAAAAAAAAAAAAAAACAAAGAGAAGTATTAAAAAAAAATTACTTGTCTTTGTAAACGAGTAGTCCAGATGAACAAACCCCCAACAAAATATCTAATCCAGCACTGTCTTTGGCGGGATGTAAATCCACCCCATACATGGCCAATTTTTTGGCATTTTTTAGATAATTCAATTCAGCTTCAGCCGGAGTTTGACCTCTGTAAGAAAAATTAATTTTTGAACATTTTATTTTTAATACATATATTTACAGTAAAAAAAAAAAAAGGTTTTAAAAGAAATCACATACTTATGGGTTTTATGTAATTCTGCTACTTTTTCTTCCAACTCCTCAGTTTGATTGGGAGCAAATTTAAACTCTGACAAATAATTTTCTTTATGAACATCGGGATCGTAATCTCCAAGCACTGACTGGACAAGATAACTGCCCAGTAATGCTTGCGTTACAAAAGAGCATGGTAATTTTCCAGACAAAATATCATTTTTAACTTGAAGACACAATTGATACCTAAATTTAAATTCAATAAACTTATCAATTTTTTAATATACATGAATAACCTCGATAAATTCTTTTCGCGAGGCTAAAGAAAATATATATAACCGAAATTGAATTAATATCGAAATTCCAATACTGTGGGCAAATATAAATTTTTATAAAAAAAAAAAAAATATGTATTCGTATGCTACATGAAATTAACCTTATTTTTCATGGATCAATTATTTAACTTAAGGTCAACATTAATACAATTAACCTCTATTTAAAAAATGACGAACCATCTACGTAAAAAAAAAAAAAGCATGGGTTGTAAAGATAAAGATTCAGACAGAGTATAATATAAAATTAGAATTTTAGTGCTAAGAGTCACAATAATTAAAAAAAA